CGGGCCTCCAACATGCAGGTGCCCATTGGGTTGGGTGTTAATAATCAACCATGCTCGTATCAAAACGAAAATTATACCGGTGTTGAGGTAGAGGGCCGTCGCATAAGAGACTGTATAGAGGCCCGGGAGGCGCTTAAAAAACACAATTACCTGCGTTTATTAGCCAGTATTGTATTGTGTTATGGTAATTTTTGTGTTGGTAGCACCTATTCTGTGTTGGGACCTTTGTTTCCTTCCGAGGTTAGTTGTTTTTAATTTGTTTTTTTATAATTTATTAATTAGATTTTAGTTATGCAACTTGCCACAAATTATTAATTATTATTTATTGAATAATAACTTGCCAATATAATGGTAAAGTCCTCATAGTAAAATAATATAATTATAATTACTAAATAATCCTCGCATAAGTAATTTTCTGTGCGTTTAGTAACTNGCTGTTTTGATGTATTTGCCTATGATTTCAATGCATATATGCCTATCAACCCTCAATAGTGGTCAATGGTTTGAGCACTCATTTGAATTGACATTTGACTCATCAAACGATAGACCGACAGGAAATGAAATCACAAAATACTGAAACATTTTTGAGTTAAAGTTTTTAAAATTATTTATTAACGGGGGGAGAGTAGTGGGGGGCGGGAATCATCATTATTATTAGTTTTACTAGTATTTATTATAATAATAAATTATTAATTATTATTCTTTGAATAATAACTTGCTACTATTATGGCAAAGTGCTCATAGCAAACTAATATAAAGTTATAATTAATAAATAATTGTCTAATTAATTTTCTGTACTAAATTAAAAATGTAACTTATCTATTTCATCTAGGGTAAATTAAAGGGCATATCTGAAACATGGATCGGGCTGATAATGTCACAGTACGAAGTAGCTATATTTTTCGGGTCGCTATTATTTGGCAAAATAGTGAGTGATCTAATTAAATTACTTATAAATGAATTTAAAATTATTTTATTAATTGTAACAAGGTACCATATTTTAATCCAAAACACTCATTAATCTGGGGTTTATTAGTGGCCGGATTGTCGACTATATTATTTGGCTTTATGCAATCATCGCCATCTGGTTATATGTTTACCATGATCAGCATGCTTATACGTACAATATCCGGATTGGGCTCGGCCATGTTTTTTATTAGCGCATGGACAATTGTCGGACTCAATTTTCCGACCAGTTTAGCGCGAATATTTGTAATATAAACGTGCTTGGTTCTTTAGAAAATGTTAAATAATTATTTATTTTACAAAAATAAAATTATCTAGTCTTTAACCGAAATGTTCTACGCAATTGGCATGATATTTGGTCCGGGTATAGGTGGTTTGCTGTCCGAGCTAGGTGCTTATATTGGAGCCGCTTTTATATTACCATTTGTAGTGTTGGGCGTACTTATAATTATTGGTTGTATTATGGCATATTATTTAATAGATGCTGAAAGTAAGCTAGATGATTAAATTTATTAATTTGAATTAAGTTATGCTAATATTTCACAAATAGATCCAGGTGAAGACAATACTGAAAAGACCAGCATTTTGACCGTGGTCAAGCATTTTGGTTTTACACTTAATTTATTGATCACAATTAATGGCTGTATTCTCATTGGCTTTAATGACGCGACACTGGATTTGCATTTAAAAACTGTAAAACACAAACAATCTATTATTTAACTTATAATAAATTAATTGCAATTTACATTGCTAATAATTTAGATCCGGCACCTATCGCCATCTGTAGAGGGTATTATATTCATTGTGCAAGGTGCATTTTACGCCATGTTCAATCCATACTGGGCCAGTTTGGTGGACAAAGTGGCCAATAAACATAACCTATGCATAGCTGGCTGTATATTTTCACTGCTCGCTTACGTAATCACCGGTCCGTTGCCTTTCATACCGATTAACCCGTATGTAAACCCATAGCACAATACTATTTGATTATGGTAACTTGGTTTAAAAAGCAATTTTTAATTTATGGTAATAGCAACTTATGGCTTGTGATAATAGGCCAGGTGTTTCTGGGCTTTTCCATGGGCGGTATGATCGTGGGCAGTTTTGCGCACGGCTTTCAACAAATATTGTAATTAATTATAACTAATAATACAAACACTTAATTATTTACAAAAAAAATACAACACATTTTACATTAGGAATAAAGGGTTTGCTGAAAATGTCAGTACATATGCCGTTATATCAGCGAGTTTTTCATCGGCCTTTGCCTTGGGCTCAGCCATAGGGCCAGCACTGGGCGGATATTTGATGGGACAGTTAGGTTATCGGTGGGCAACTTTGCCCATGGTGGCGCTCGAATTTTTATTTGTAAGTTATACAGTTATTTTAATTGTATATTACCATAATTAATTGTTTATATATTTTATTCTAATAGATTGTAGCAATATTAACGTATAATATGTGCGATAGTAGTACTGAAAGCAATGATAGTATAACGAGTGACAACTGTAGTAACGATAATAATAATTATAGCGTTAACTACAATACAAATGGCAATTATTGTGTAAATAATAGCAAAATTGATGAATACATTGAAATGGAGTAATTTCTGCCAATTTATTAATTAATGATTATAATAATTATTATTAAACTATATTTTCATAATGTAATAAATTACATACTATTAATTTATTAAATAATTACAGTAGAATATTACTACAGTCGAATATTTATAAATTATAATGATCACTATACAGACATGTTAAAATGGTAATGATTTTCTACGAATAAATAATCTTGGTGTTTGTGTACGGTCTACTTTTATGTTTTGCAAAAGTAATTGAATATTGGCTTATCCGAAAAGAAACGGGACTGATTTAATAGAAAATAGAAAATTCATTTTTATTGTGATTAAAAAAATTAATTCAAATTATGAAATAGCTATAATTATCGGCAACTATTGGCCATCTTTCAGACAAATTTTTATTCACTTCCCGATAAAAATGGCTGCCCTGCGAGTCAAAGAAGTGAGTGATGTCTGTTTCGACCACTACTTTTGTTTAGCATTTTGCACCCCTAAAACATGACACGAGA